GGTGGGGGGGCGTGGGTCATGCGAATTGAGGACATGAAAACGTATTGCAGCAATGGCCAACATGTAGGTCGCGTGTTTAACCTACACCGGGCACGTGTTTAACCTACACCGGGCCCCCTGAGCTTTTACAGTACCTGAGAGAACAAACAATTCGTCTGCATTCAAAAGGTGCTCCAAACAGTACCCCCGATGGTTTGACGGTCGATCGCTGGCGATGCTTTGGTCGCGGTAGACAATTTCAGCTAGCACATCCCGCCCGCTCAGTCAGTGGTGCCATGTACCTTGACCACGCATCTCAGAATGGTGAGAGGTAGGGCCTCTACTCCTTGCATCGTTCGTAGTAGGACTACCGTGAATGTCGGAGAGATGGCACCGCGGGTGTTGGAGTATTTGTATAGCGTATTTCTCCACAACCAGGGGGGTACCACTGCCGAAAAGGATAGTTTTGGACGCATCTCGTCGAGGGCTTTCCTGCGAGGTGTCGGTGGGTTTTCGCGCCCTTCTAGTTGTGGAGAAATACGCTGTAAAACAACCCGAACACGGGGGTGCCATCTCTCCGACTCTTACCGCAACCCCAAAGTGATGCAGCTCGGGAGACAATTTAAGAGCCAACACCTCTCGCGATAATAAGAATAGTGACACCGGCAGCCCCGCTGTGCCTACATACGCCCGACTCAAAACAGGCGATCGGCGACAATTGAAAGAACTACGTCTCGAACAACCAAGCGGCACCGGCGTGAGGCCAACATCACCAGGTCCAAGCGGGGTGGAGAAACTCTACACGAAGCCACGACAGCACCCCCCTCTCCCCCCCCCCCCCATACCCGAATCCCCTCGGCGCCGCGCCGCCCCACCCATGGACGCACGAACCGGACGTAACTCTCGCCTAAAGAACAACGGATAAGAACTGACGAAAACAAACAAACATCCCTCCTGCACACACCCAATCACGCACCACGACGATGTTGGTCTCCGGCCTATCCTTTAGCCAGGAGAAGAGCTCTCTCCCGCGATCGGCCATCAGGTCGTTCGGCTCTCTCTCTTCGCCCAGGGAATCGAAGTAGACGTCCTTCTCGTCCTTGATGGCATCGAAGGAAATGTTCGGGTACTCCCCCTTGAGCTCGCTCACGCATCTACCGAGAGCGGCGTTCATTTTTGGCGGCGAGCGTTTGGTTGCACGGCGGATTGGAGGGGACGTGGGGGCTAACAATGCAATCACCTCTCGCCCTGCCGCACAGACTTCTGACCGACCCCTTGCCATAGAGCAGCTGTTCCCTTAGAGCAAAAGGGAGGGCTACACGACGGGTTGGATAAAAAGGAGGGGTAACGTAGACACCCCACCCTTTGGCACAGATTTCTGATACGACCGTTTCACCTTTCATAGAACAGTTCTTCCTCCCTTAGGAATCCACCCCGCACTCTCAACACAACGAAAACAATTTGTTCATTACGCTACGGTAGAGGTCCCTGTTTAGTGCCGGGGTGTGCCCTACACCGGATACCGGCCCTATTCAAAGTACAGAACGACTTCGTATTCCAGTGTGTGCGAGCCGAAAACGCTATCGACACTATACCGGCAATCGGCACTAAACAGGGACCTCTACTGTATATACAAGGGCGGGCCCGCCCGTATGTATGTGTGCACGTTTTGGGAAGAGGGAGCCGTGCGGAATTTCTTGTTGTTGTACCGAACAACGACTAAGGCATGGCAGGCGCACCGTCCCACCCGCCGCCGAAACGGGTTGTTACTCTAGTTTCGGGCGCAACCCGCCTGCCGCCAAGTCCTGTGTTGAGCGAAACCCCGTCGTGTTTTGGGATGTGAACTCCTGCCCCCCTCTCCCTTCCGCGCGACTGGGAGCGGTCGGGACACGAAGAAACACCGCCGCAGTAAAGGGCCTTGAAGGTTCTCAACACAAAGCTGAAGCTGATGATTGATTGCTGGCGAAGAACGCATCCCCACAGGGGCCAAGGTGCGCCACTGGTCCGTTCCCTTTTTCGGCCCCCGGATTTCCCGAAAAAAAAAAAAAAAGTGTCGCATAAAAAAAAACGCACCTTGAATCACTTTCTAAGCCTAAGCAGCGCCCCCTTGATAATTGCCGTATTTTCTGTCTTAACCCCATTCGCAACAGAAGCATACACCTGGCGCCCTTTTCTCTCGCGTGTGCACACACACACAAACCCACGAATGGACGCGAGGAACTAACGAAAGAGAGGCAAACTTTCCTACCCCTCCAAAAAGTTCATTGCGCAACGCGAAGGCCAAGAGAACAACTAACGTATTCTCTCCTCAGAGTGGATCGTTTCATGTAGCAAGTGTTGGGTATTGGTGAGGACTCCCTGTGGCGGTCGGTGGTCCCGCTCAACACATGGGTATGTTTCGATTTCTTTGGGTAACCGTTGGTCCGGGTCCGCATTGAATCGAGACTCACCCAAAGTTTTGTTCGTCGGCATGCACGCCGATCGAGTACCCACAGCAGAGTAACAACATGCCCGAGACTTCCTTTTCCAGAATTGCACGAAGTGACTCGTGTGGCCCCCCTCGCCTCCCTTTCTTCCCCCCCCCCTAGCTTGGCGAGGCAGCATGGGGAAAAGCGACTCCAGGGAAGAAGGGAATCAGATGGGACAAGGTGGTAGAGAAGGTTTGGAAGGAGATAGGAGACGAGGAGGAGACGTTGGACACGGAAGGGTTCGGGGGGTTCAAGACGAAAGTCAAGGAGATGCTAGAGAGTAGGGAGGAGACAACCCTTCGGAAGAAGGTACGAAGCGAAGACCACTTGGAGATATACGGGAAGTTGAAAGAAGGGATAGGGATGAAGAAGTACTTGGACGGCCCCATGGACTATGCGAAAAAGCTGAAATTGCAATTTCGAGTAGGCGATCTGGACTTGCCAGAACGGAGGAAGAGGTATACCAGCCGTAGGAGAGAGGAAGAGGAGGATAGACACACATGTCCATGTGGCAAATCGGAGGAGAGTAGACCCCACATAGTTGGGGAGTGTGAGTTGTACAGGAAGGAAAGAGAGGATCTCGAGGAGGAAATGAGACAGAGAGGGTGTGACATGGACAAGTTTGGTAAATTAGACAACAGCGAAAAAACGATCACGATAATTGGGGATAGATGGTGGGCACAAGAGGCCCTACAGGACGGGGATAAGATGTGCAAGAAATTTTTATGGAGTTTGTGGCAGAAACGTAAAGAGCTCCCAAATGTTGGTGGTGTCTCTAGTAGGTGTAGGAACGGTGCTCCGTCTCGAAAGGGACGCGTGGTCAATGGTCAAATGACTACGGCAAGCAACAAATGAGTACGCCCCCCCCCTAGCTTGCAAAACCTCGCCAATAGCATAGGTGAAGGACTTCGAGGATACATGGCCAAAATTTGGATTCCATGCACTATTTAGGCGGTTGTTTACCTCCGGCGGTCACAAGGGTGCGCTCCCGCTCGCTCCCTCACGCACTCCAGCGCCACCCACGGCACTCCCTCTACCTGGAAAACGACAGAAGTAGTTGCGGTGCATCCAAGCGGCGACGCACCCAGGGCAGGGGCGGGGAGCGCGGGGTGGGGGGGTGATCGTGGAGACAACGCGATGTTCGTGTGATTGCGTGTTCCGTCGGATCTGTAGAAGACGAGAATAAATAACAACTTGGGGTTTATACGAACACATGGTACCCTTCCTCACACTTCCGGTACTTGATCTAGGTCAGGCGGGGAGAAGCACGGTTTCTGGTCAAGATTGATGGTGAGAATCTTACAGACAAATTGATTCAGACAGGAACTACAGAGGTGAGAATAAAGGGTCGCACGTTGAAGGAGCCCGACAGACAACTCTGGCATTTCTCTGGCCTAGGGTTGGGTAAGATCGACGGAGCGCTAAGTATGACGACCCCCGACACTTCTCCCAAATATCTACAGCACCAAATGTTTGCACGCCTGACCTCACACAAAAACGGTCGATGCCGGTACAACTGGGAGAAATAGTCCCCCCCTCCACGGTCCTCTCGCACCATGTTGTGTTCAATTGGTCAAACACCCTCGAGGGAGTTTACACAGTGCTTACAACTGTCTCTGGAAGTGAAAGCACCAGAAAATAAATGAAGTCATACGCAGCTATCATCCGTACGCAAGGAGGTGAGCACAAGATGCCGAACACCCGTATTATAGCAGGATGCAGCGCACCCTTCATGCGACTCGCCGAATACGTCACGGGGCTACGCGCTTGGTGATGTGAGAGCCTGGCCCGGTGAAAATCCGGTGTGCTCCGTCCCGGCTTTTGTAGGGTTGCGAGGTCAATGGTCTAACGACTACGGCATGCACGACTATTGAATACCCCCCCCCCCCCCCAAAGTCCTCTCGAGGACGCGTGGTTATGGCTTAACCGCTAAGGCATGCCAAACATGAGTACCCCCTCAAGGTTGGGTATCATACCTGATCAATGGTCAACGTGGCGGTCTGTATCGCTCTGGCAAGCGGAGAAACAACGACCAGCTGCGCCTCCTTTTCGATGCCGTGCTTCGTCGCCTTCAATGTCGCGCACTGCTGCTTGCCGAGATCGGTAAGCCTGGCGTCGAGGTGCTCCTGTGCACGAACGCGTGTGCGATCACGGTGGTATCGACGAAAAGGGAGAAGGGCGGGGTGTACTCGCGTAAACGCATGCCGTAGTCGTCGGAGCATGCATCCCTACAATGCCGGGACGGAGCGATATGCTGGGTTTTCGCCGGCCCCGCGGCGGGGGCGGGCGTACCCGAACGTCTTGCATGCCTTAGTTTTTATGCCGTTGGCCACGGGTCCTCGAGAGGACGGAGCATGACGGGCAGGGAGGGGCGTTCAAAGGAAGTCGTGATAGAAGCACGGGGGGGGGATCGCGGCTTGGGGGACGATGACCACGTTTCCGAGCGAAGCTTGCCTCTCACCAATGGAATACTAATACTGGTATATACTTTTCTACTCTATCCGCATTGGGTCTGTCGTATCGTCCGTCCTTAGTCGCTTCTTTTGTCGTCTGTGGCCGCACATAAGGATCCGTGTATGTTGCGCCAGCGAGATGGATGCTTCACGGCAATGAGCAGATAATCGGGGTGTCCTAACGTGAGTACTCTGTGCATTATTGGTGTAACACGACGGGAGGAGTCTGGCAAAATGTGGCAACACCTTGTTTCGACTGGCACATGAGAACAAGACTGACAACGGAAACGGTGAAAATGTTAAAAAAATAACTGCTGCTTGCTGTTGTGTACACTACATAGACTACATTATAGGTCACAACCTATGTATATATTGTAGAAGCATCAAATGCACTTGACACCACTATGGCTGTATCGCCAAGCCGCTCTGTCGTGCAGGACAAAGAGCCCCCACACGCCAGACGACGCCACAACAGATACTGTGGAGGACACACAGCAGATAACAAGGGGATGGCGCAGCTTTCTTTTGGAGGCACTCGCAGCAGTAGCCGTGTTGCTTAGTCTACTCTTCTCTGGATTTATAAGCCAGGTCTCCTCAGCACTCGCTTGGAGAGTGCGAGGATGGAGCTGCTAGAATCGATCCCGATCCCCCTGTCCTACAAACGACGCCACATGCCCAACAAAAATCCAACAACAAACTTCCGTCCGTGGCCGCTTTTGCAAAAAATAGCAAGAGCTTCGGTGCAGTACGTCTGTATGCGGGAAACTTGATATTTATGATTGTATTGACCAATCACGCAATAACTGCACGTAACTGCGAGCCACCTCCACTGCCCTGTGCAGTTAGCGGCTGAGTTGCAGTCCAATTCCCTTTTTTGTTGCCCTTCCTGTCTCTCTCGGTCGCTCGCTATTGCTCACCCCCAGGCATAGAGGGAACGCGTGCACTACCTTGCTGCTGCTACTTCAAGCAACCCAATGGTCCGCGGCTTGAAATGAACACGGAATGGAAATGCATGCAGGAGATCACAAAAGTCTACTATCATTGCACGTCGTACGAACTCTCTACACTACTATTGTTTCCCTGTTCATCTGTTCTACAAGCAGGCCGGTGTATCTCCGCAATATCTCTTATCAGTCGCGCGCTATCGATCACTCCCAGGCACCACTGAGCAAGAGGGAACGCAGCCAGACACCATTACATGCTGCCTTCAACCATTGTATGCATACCTCCGCTTGCTTGTATGAGCTCGGAGTCCTACGCAGCAGGTGTTCTGCGTCTCTCTGTAGATAATAAACCCGCCCACCACATGTTTCGTTCGTAGTCCAGGGTCCAAGGGTCCAAATGTGTGTGTGTCTTTATTGTTAGCATCGACCGCGCTAACCGGCTGACCAATGAAAAGACGCCAGTCTTAGTGCGGTTGAAAACACAAAACATATATGAGACACACAAGACAGCTACCAAACTGTCTTGTTGAGCCTGTTACCCGCAGGGGAGATGTCCCTATATGCTGTCTGGGAAATCGTAGACATACAGGTACTTTCTGACGCTATGAATCCATTGCTAATCTGTCTCAGAGTCTATGATAGAGATGGTTTCGTTGTGTCATATTAAGAAAAAAAAAAAAACTTTTATCTGCCATGAACTGGGACCCCGTGAGGGTGTGTGTGTGTGTTAAACCTACTTGAGAGACAAGAAAGCCCTGTGCATATTCTACCACTCACAATCTTAGCATAGGCTGCTCGGCCCTCCTTGAGCGCTGCCTCGTTGTGCGTTCCTGTCGAAAAACACGAAAACAACAGGTGTGCGTTGGATGGAAATAAGAAATAAGCTTGAACAAACTTACGGCTGGCTGGAGACCTGCTGCAAGTGAATGAAGGGGTGTCATGCGTCATGGTGTGTTGAGGTTAGTTGCGTGTTGGTGTGTGTGGGAGACGGCAGCTGCAATTGTTGCCAACGCGGCACAAGCAAGAGCATCTAACTACTTGAGGCCGTAGAGTGGATGAGGTGTATGCTACAAGTACAGCTATTTTCAACAATGATCTTTTACAACTAATACTATTATACTGCTGCTGTTGAAGATATACTACAATGTCTACAGCAGTACTGGAGACTACGGTACGCTTGGCCATTCTGTGTCCCACCAGAATGCGTGTTGGGAAAACATTATATGTAGCGCATCCTTTCCTGATTGCATGTCCCCATCGTGAGGTATCTATCCTCTTTCCTTTCGTGGGTTCGTTGCTCCACCCTATGAACTTGCTGTGCGGCTGTATGTAGTCCGACTTGGACCATGGTCTGATGGGAGGTGCAGGTGCAGACCTTGCTGTACACGTACGTATACACACTTGAAAATAGAGTTCCCGGCTGGACGGGTGATAAGCCAAAAAGGGCTGGTTTGTTCCGGCAGTCCTGACCTTCAGCGTGGCGGATGAAGTGTACCGTCTTCGCCTTGGAGCGCTGCACTACGCCGACGACCTTGTGTCCATCGGAGGTCTTCGTTTCGGCCATCGTCTCAAAGGTCGCCATCCCTGTTTGTTGGTACGAGGACGGAACAGCGGCGTGGTGCACACGGTGCTCGGGACAACTCCAATCTGAGAAGAAAAAAAAAATGTATGAAGAGGTTGCGCCGCATCCATCCATCCCTGAAAGCGCCGTCCTCCCGGCAGCTCTGTAGCTCGAATGGGTAGTCTTTCTGTGTGTGTTTTTATTATTCCTTAATGTATCCGCGAGTATCAGTCTTGCGGGCTCAAGTGCAAGGGTTAACCTCACTATGTGCCGTGCTGGGGCCTAGTTTGGTACACTCGTTACTCGGCAAGCGAAGCGTTCTTGTCAACACACCGCGCCCGGTAGTTCATTTTGCGGCTCAGGTTCGCGCGGCAGATATGTAGATATTTTTATTTTTATTGTACCAAGAGCTTTTTACAATGTGAGTTGCTCGGGACAACAACCTACAGAAGCCCAGTTTCCAGCCGGTTTCTGTTTCCCTCCACCCACTGAAAAGACTTGAGCACCTCCCCTTCGACTGTGGTATTGTCTCGAAAGGTAGTATTTCTGTGTGAAATTTCCAGAAATTGATATCGTCTTTGGTGGCCTCAAGGTTGGAAAGAGATTAAATACACAATGAATGCAGACACAAACGAGGTTGCACGGCTTTTCGCAGCCCCTTTAGCATTGTTGGGGCTGTCCATCAAGCACCAAGCCTTTCTACAACGTGACCCACTGGCCACCCGTGTGGATCTAGACGACGAAGCGGCCGCCGCACCATTCGCAGCAGCAAGTAGTTTCAACAGCGATAGTGACAGCGTGAGAGAACAAAACCATATTAGGGCAAACGAGAGCACTCAGTCAGGAGAAAACTACACTCGCGGCTTGTTGTCTCGCCGCTTTCTATGTGGCCTTCAGCTTTTTCCCCGTCGGCCATCAAGAAAGGCGGTGTGCGCACGGTATGGCGTACAAGCCTTCCCGGTCGAGACTGTCATGATGCAGGCGGCCGAATGGTTGCAAATCCAAACGGAGGGGCGGTCGAGACCCCGAACTTGAAGATTGAGACGTGTATAGGTAAAATACTTATCAGAGAATGGTAACCCAAGAAAACAAGCCATTGCGAAATGTTCTAAATTATACACACACCACGTTTCCCCCCGTCGTACGCTTGTTCACATGCTCTACAGCAAAACTTAGTTGCAGAAAGGATGTCACAGGGCAGTGCACACCACATTCGGAGAGGGAGAGCGCGCCGGCTAAAGACGGGCGTGCCAGGTCCCCGGCCTCCTGTCCCTCGGTCTCGTCGCCTATCGTACATCAGAAGGTGACACCATTTTCCCTCATCCCCGTTGATCCGCTCCTTAGGAAATCTCGAACCACATCGATCGCTTAACAAGAGGACATCGATCGAGTTGTTCTCAAAGGTCCAGTAGTACGCTCCGAAGCTCACAATTCTTGAAGTCTTTGGCTGTGTCCGGTGGCGACAACATCACCCTCTTGAAGAGGCTCAACAGGAAACCGCTGTGGGTTACCTAGAATGCAGAAGTCGGGGGGGGGGGGGGGGGGGG